GACTTGATCTGCGGTTGTCAGTCCCGATCAGCTAAAGATGGTCTAGTGTGTCCTATGCTAAAGGATGCATTGAGGCTCCTTCCCTATGGCGTAGAGGGGTGTCAAACTCAATTTCATCGCGGGCCACTTTAGCATTGTGGTTACACTCAAAGGGCCGGTTGTAACTTTAAGACTATATAAATATACATATATAAATATATAATAAATATAAAATAATGTATTATATTTAGGGCTGTCAGTCGATTAAAATATGTAATCGCGATTAATCGCATGATTGTCCATAGTTAATCGCGATTAATCGCAAATTAATCGCACATTTTTTATCTGTTCTAAATGTACCTTAGAGGGATATTTTTCAAGTTTTTAATACTCTCTCATACAATAATACAACTGTGTGTGTGTGTGTGTGTGTGTGTGTGTGTGTGTGTGTGTGTGTGTGTGTGTGTGTGTGTGTACTGTGATGGATCGTTGGAGCTATGTGCAGCTCAAGGCATATATGCTCGAACGGGAGCTGTCTGGACGCTGCAATCATGTTGCGCGCACTATCCGTGCTGAGTGTGCTGACTTTTCGTACAATGTCCCACTGTCTGGCTACCTGCATAAAGTCAAGTGCTCGGCGCAGTTGTCGGCGAAATGTCGCTCCTCTGTTTTCATTGAAACAGCTCCTTATATCCGTTAGCGCAGCTAGCTAGCACCAGATGCTAACAACAACAACACGTAAGGTGTGCCTCGCTCGTGCCACACATACACACACCCTCCCGGCCCTCCCGATGGCCAGTCCGGGCCTGCCGGTGAGCGTGGAAGTGTGGTCTGCCGTAAGCAGCGGGCGGCAGGAGCGGGGCTGTCAGCATCAGCTTGTAGATGGTATTTTAAACTCGATGCGCTCTGAAACTACGGGGCGGCCGGGGACAAAAAATACACATGCGTTAATCGCGTCAAAATAATTAGTGGCGTTAATTTTTTAACGCGTTAACTTGACAGCCCTAATTATATTACATTATTGGCTCTGCATTGGATTATTATCAGTTCTGGTAATAACTCCATAAATAACTACGTCTGAAAGAAGAAGTCTAGGGCAAATAATTGAAAGCAAATATTCAACAATTACGCCAATTGTAGTGTACATTATATTCTTTGCAAGCTCTTGCGGGCCACATAAAATGAGGGCCTTGAGTTTGACACCCCTGGATTCAAACTGCTTCTTTTTTTTCTGCTGTAACTACTGTACGTAAATGTCCCCTCTGTGGGACTAATAAAGGGATTCTGATTCTGATTCTGATTCATCTTGTACTTCCGGGTAATTTCTCTCAGTTAGGAGCCTCCCTAAGCAAAAAAGAATATTCGGCCAAAACTTAAGTCTCTGCTTCCCCTCTGTTTCAGACGTCCCAGCTCCTGAAAGACATAACAGACTAAATAACTTCTTGAGCAGCAAGACTAAAGACTGCTAAAGTGTCTGAACTGTGGAAAGTTTAACTGGAGGTTCATCTGAAGACAAAAAGTGAGGCCACTTAAAACACTTAAAACACTCCTCACAATACATATCTACATAACCTGAGAAGTTTCAAAAAATGTATAAAACTTAAAGTCTAGCTCCTGATAAAACATTTGAAAACAGCAGAAGTACTAGAATCACATGATAAGTGATTGTTTGAGGTGAGAAAAGTCATAAAATCTGTATTCTCTGTCAGTGACTTTTACCGCACCTCATTTTCATTTTCCACTGACTGCCCGTGTTATCGCTATTTTCCAATTACTACTCCAGATAAAAACCAACAGATTATCCATTTACGACCACAGGAGTTATTTCAAATATTTGTCCCGTACATTTCTCTTTTTGAGTTCATAACATGAGTGGCTATATGAAGGTTTTAGCAGAAAATGCCAGAGATCCTCAGAATTGTCTGCCACCCTTTCATAATGTGACAGATAAAATGTGAAATATATGAACACAGTGAGAGTCAGATTTTGTTGTCCAGGCTTTGTAGGAAGAAGGGACATTTCCTTCCAGAGCTTTGCAACATTTCACACTGCGTTTTGATTGGATTCCTAAACACCTTCTGGTATCTCCAATGATATTTGCAATAGATAAGACATGGGAGGATGCACATTTCAAATGAAAATGCATTACTTCTGATGATACCATGGCAGTATCTGTTGCACTCGGGTAGAGAGGAGTGACACATTAAAAGGGCTGCTGGAAGTTCATGTGCTCTTATCCAAATTTCATTGAAATAAAATGTCAACCAAATGTTACCGTCTCCCTCCACTGATCTCTCCAACGACTTGTTTCAACAAGCCTTTCAAGTACATCAGTGGTTTCTAGTTCAAAATGGGAATTAAATATATATGGTCACAGCTGAGGGTACTTTTCATTCCCCTGCTCCATAACTAAACTTCATTGTGATGTGGATCATAGCTGTTGGAGTCCACCTTCCTGGGATTTACCAAAAGACACAAAACCCTTACATTCATCTTTACTGTAAATAGGACAGAGCTTGGTTGTAATTGTTATGTAAAATGTAAAGGTTTTCAGCAACTAAATGATTATTCTGGTAGGTGGGCAATGTATTTATTTTAGAAAAAGTTTTGTTATTTTTGGAAACTAATAAATTAAATGCTTGAACAAAAAATAAGATGTTATGGATACTTGGATAATCTTGTTTTTTTCTTGCTGACTTTTCCAATGTTACCTTACATCATATGGAAATAGACTGTGAATGCACATGAGTTTAGCCATAGTAAGCATTGAAGATATTCTCAACTGCATGATGTTATGAATGAGCCTTGCTGTCGGATAAACCAGGTTACTGTTACATGTTAACATTTAGTATAAATGATTAACCAATAATCAACCATCTATTGGATCTTTACTGACACAATAAGTGCATTGTGTTCAGTTCATAATGATGAACGATGCCAGTCCTACCATTTCTGTATCATTATACAGTATATGTACTGTTATTCAGCTCCAACCAACCTCCACCTTATCAGATGTCTCAGAATAACTGCCAACACCCATAGACTGTAGTGGAAGTAGAATCAGACATAACTTGTGTTAGCACTAGCTAGCTAGCTTGGTTTGAAAGCTGCGACTGAAGTTTGTGTCAAATTAATTGAGAAGCTAAACATGCTTGCTTTTAATGATCATAAATATTGAGCAGCCAACCAAACGCTAAACATTGCTATAATAAATGGTAAATGGACTGTATTTACAGTATGTAGCGCTTTATCCAGTGTTTACGACCCATCAAAGCGCTTTACATTCTACAGAGCAATGTGCCACTTGCTCAAGTAAGCACACCCTTGGCCAAGCCATCGGGAGCAACTCTGGGTTAAGTATCTTGCCCGAGGATACATCGACATGTTTAACCTTCCGATTAGAAGACGACCGCACCACCTTGCAGCCTCCGTTGCCCCTAATAAAATGGCTCTGTTGTAGCAACGCTGCAGTAGCAACTTAACAATCACAAGGTAGCCACGTCATAAAACATATGGTGCTTTATCATTTATATTACTATAATGGGATCACAGTTTATACATGTATGTCATGCTGTGTTAGAGAAGACTTGAAACTATATATAGAGACCATAAACCATAAATCAGGAATATGCTTACTGATGTAAAAATGCAATTGAGAAGGAGAGTCATTTTATAATGGTAAATGGTAAATGGACTGCATATAGATTATTTAGTCCATCAGGAGCAACATACAATCTTTAAAACATATTTTTGCAACCAGTGGAATCGCCCACTATGGGCATTAGAAATAATTCCAATTCAAGGCAAAATGTCAGCTGTGATAACTGCTTTTTCTCTTCAAAACATGTTGAGCGACCCTTTTTTTAGGTGCCTGGTGCCGTGGGGAGCTTTAGCCCATGAACAGTCACTATCTAATAAGACCCTTTTCTGGCTAGTGTCACACTCATACTTTAAAACAGTGTCGTTGAATTGTTATATTTAGAACAACCTGGATATAATGCAGACATTAAACCAATATTCAATTTCATTTTGTGTAAAGTTTTATTTCAAGGACTTTCCTCAATGTCTGGATTGTGGCTAACTGTTGACAAAACATCCTGTTTATCATTAATAGCACCTCCACCTCTTGATCATGCTTCCATATGAATATTGAAATGCAAATGTTATTTTTTGAACACAATTTAACTGAATAGGTCATGTCTGAGGCTATTAAAGATCATTGACTGTAATATAATAATATACCCTAATATGTAATCATATACTACTGTACTTCTCACTGCAAAACATTGCCTATTGCTCTACGGTCTCCGTTAAACGGTTTGTGGTAAATCTGACCCGGTGACAGGCTTTAGCAATATCTTTAGGGGGAAGTTGCAAATATTCCCCTTATTGTCCTGTTACCGTAGGTTTGTCATATAGAGGAATACGTATTATATTTGGATTGTTTCATAACCATTTTAAAACTTCTTGTAGTAGCCTGTTTACACACATTGCTTGCAAGACAAACAATATACATTAGCTTGATGGCTCCAGGAACCCATGGACCCTGCTGCCTGCGCAGCTGACCACTGGTTGATTGACCAGTCAGCAATTTCTTTGTTTATTCTTATTATTTGTTATGGGTAACCTTCCACAATTCAGAACTTTGAGGTTCATGGTCTATGCTAAAAGTCACTGTACAGAAATGTGATTTGTGGCTCTAGTGTGTTATATCAAAAGTCGCACCCACTGAGAGCACCAGTTAAAAAGCAAAGGAGCTATTTTCCCAATTCATTAACTAATTAGACTAGATACTGGGACAATTGTATGCAAATCTTTAAGAGACACAGGAGAAAGCAAAGTATTATCACCCCAAAAGGAGCATAAGTCCAATTATGCAGAGATGTTTCCTTTAAGTTGGGTTCCCCTTGATGAAAGGCTACATCCTGTTTATCCTTAATTACATGCCTCCCTCTCACTGTTTCTCTCTTTGTTCCCTCTCATTACCAGCCTAATGCCCTAGTTTCTGTCCTTATTTTCAGGGATACACTACCGCAAGTCATGCGCCTCATCAGGAGCCTGTCTCATCGCTTCTTCTGGCTACCAGCAGTTCTGCACCGGCAAGCTGAACTCAGTGTGCATCACCTGCTGCAACACGCCGCTGTGTAATGGACCGCGGCGAGGGAAACGACCCCAAATGTCGGCTGCCGTTACCTTGAACACACCGCAACTCCATGTGTTTTCTCTTTGCATCCTCCTCCTACTGCCCTCCACCCTGTGCTGACAGACCTCCACACACTGTGTGAGATGTGCATTGGCAGTGGAGACAACATGAACTGTATTAACTGAAACAGTTGAGAGCGCTTTCTGTGAAATATATTTTCTTTGAGGTTGGGGAAGCTTTGCAAAGTATTTGTTCTCTTGACTTGCTTTCCGTCGCAGCTGGCGTCCAAAGGGTCAAATTGTGAAATATTATCATCACGTGTTCATGCAACAAACAAGGTAATCTGCAAGGACAGTTGGGTAGGGGGGGATGGAGGACGGTGCCGTGGAACAGCTTCTGGCTATTTTGTTGGGCAGCAGGTGGCTCATTCACATCTGTCTTTGTTTACTTAAAAATACGACATATTGAAGGTAATAAAGGAAGGTCAGATTCATCATACAGAGGCTTAGGATAACTTTAGAATAAATAAGTCTTTGATTTATTCTAAATGAGATCCGTAACCGTGAGCAATCACCAATTTGCTGTAATGAGGAACTGAAAATGTATCATATGTATGACAATGATACGATTTAATGATTTGGAAAATTAAGTCAGGAAAACGTCTTCGGATGAAGGAAAACATGTGCTAGTTATTAGAATAAAGCCACCTACAGCCCCCATAGCTCTCACATATACATCATCTTATCAGTAGACCCATAAAAAAGTACTTTTCTCAAAACTCTCCTCCAATGGTTTTGTAACAAACAAAAAATGTACATAGAGCTACAAGAACATGTTGTTACACACAACTCTATTTTAAACTACTTACCAGATATTCATTGCATCTCTAATAGCTCAAATGGAAGTGTTTGAAGTGGAGCAGCAGTACTTCAGTGAGCAGGTGGACTCTCTTTAAGAAAGAGTTTTCAGATGAATTAACCTGTTAAGCCCCAAGCCTGTTTTTCAGGTCTCAGGCTCGAAAATGACATTCCCAGAACAAATGACTATATCTTCACTTCTAAAAGGGGTAAATTAATAATCTTTTTTCTCAAAGCAATTATAAACCTGTGAGTTGGATGTAGAAAAGTCACAATCAATATAGATGTTTCCACCAGCTAATGGAACAGAAGCACAGGGGTGTTGGAAACATGGAGGGTCACAAGCTTGTCTGCATTGGAAGCTTGAATCTGTCTTTGTTTGACAACAGCTAGTTTAAAAGGTTTTCCAGGAGTTTCGCAGTTGATGCCCCTAATTTAAGTAGCCATGGGATAAATGATAATGAGGAGCGGCAAACGCGTATCAGTTTATACATTGCCCTTTCAAGGAAAGTAACATCACATGTTGTTTAAGAATAAAGTGTCAGCCCCCTCTAGCAGCTGTTATTTAATTTTATTTATTTATTTATTTTATCGTATTGAATTATACAAAATTAGACTTTAAACAAGTGGCAATGAATGTCATCCCCAGCAACATGCAGTATACAACTTCTGCTTTATTTTCATGTCAGTGTACATATCGAACATATGTCATTGAGTCATCTGATTAATCATAGAATACCGCACTTCATTCTAAATGAACTGAAAAAGTTATTGGTTTGCTCGGGCTGGTGCACTTTGTTTCCCATTGAACATAATGACTTCCTGCTGTCTCCCCAAAACAATTTTCTTATTTACTTCATTTACTTCCTGAATTTTGAAATTTGACTCTCCTGAGGTTGAACACACTGCAAATGTACAGTTCAGCCCTCTGCATGAGACACCGATTCTTAATCATTGTATATACTGTTCGTGTACTATAGAGAGGCGAAGTCCCTCCCTTTCTGGTGGAACTCCATGGGACCTTATTTCGGAAAAATTATGTATTGAAGTCAATGGAGAGAGAAAAGTTATCTTTCGATCCCGTTTGAATTGTGCCATGAATTACACATATGATGTTTGTCAATCTTAAAGGTGGGGTAGGTAAGTTTGAGAAACCGGCTCGAGATACACTATTTGTTATATTCCAGGGAATGCTCTTAACATCCCGATAGCAATGAATATCTTAAGTGCTTTGACAAAAAATTCGGCTAAAATAACTGGATGGCCTACCTGCCTGTCAACCTTCCATCTGTGCACAAACTTATCTCGTGCCCTCATTGGTCATGTGCGCGTTCGTGTGTGTTGGAGGAGGGGCTCTATAAGGAAGTGGCAGATTGTGTATTTTCAAATTCTAGCGCACTCGAGCTGGTTTCTCCAAAATTACCTGCCCCACCTTTAAACATTAATTTCCAAGTAAAAAAAGTTACAGTTTGTCATAAAACTGTGAAGTAACACTTATTTGTGTGTGAAACCGCTCAATGAATTACATCTCTGGTCTCACACAATACACGTCACCAACACCAGAATGAGGTCATTATAGGTATGAAGATATGAAAATCATTATACGTCTGGGCATGTTGAGAGCTGCTATTACACAAAAGGGGAGCTAGTCGGTTCCGTAAGAGCCAGCATGCCGGACCGGCTGTACAATGTTTCTGTGAGTGTTAAACGAGTGTAATGTGTAACGTTAATGTCAGCTAGCTAACATTAGCTAACAAGGTACATTCGTGTTTTGTTTTAGCAACTAGTTTTCTTTGTACCTTGTCCTTGCCAACACTAATGTTATCCACAGCATACACAGCGATTACGCAGTTCTTAACGAGAAAACTAGCTAACTTACAAGGTACACAGAAAACTAGTGGCTAAAACAAAACACGAGAGTTTACCTTGTTAGCTAATGTTAGCTAGCTGACATTAACGTTACACATTACACTCGTCTAACACTCACCTCGGCTCTTACGGAACCGACTAACTCCCCTTTTGTGTATATACAGCTCTCAACATGCCCAGACTTGTAGTGATTTTCTCCTCATTTAATACTTTTCGCCTCATTCTGAAAGAAAGAGGTGAAATGTGCTAACGTGACGGCCAGTTTGGTGTTGGGGACGTGGTTTGTGCGAGACCAGAGATGTAGTTCATTGAGCGGTTTCACACAAAAAAAAGTGTTACTTCACAGTTTTACAACAATTGTTTCTTTTTTTGACTTGCAAAATTATCTTTTAAATTGACAAACATCATATGTGTAATTCATGGCACAATTCGAATGGGATCGAAAGATAATCTTTCTCTCTCCATTGACTTCAATACATAATTCTTCCGAAATAAGGTCCCATGGAGTTCCACCGGAAAGGGAGGGACTTTGGCTCTCTATTGTAAGTAAGCCCACGAGAAGCAAACCAAATGACTGCTCTATAGCACCCCCAGTGGTCAACAGCCCTGCTGGGTACCTTTAACTTGAACTCAATGTGTTGGGTCTTCATGCTAAACATGAATGTTTGAATCATTTGAGCTTTTTTATAATATTTTCTGACTTGATATCAAGTTCACACTTGAGGGGACCCATGAAGCTTGATATTGTGCCAAATTGTCAGCTGAGCATGATCTTTTAATGAAATACCTGACTTTACATTTGGTACTGTTTTAACTGTGTAAAAGGAATATTTCAGTTTTTTTCTGATGACAGCACAAAAATCATTGAGTTGTTTTGACTGTTCACTGTGTTGCATTAAATTGTACATTACACTTCAGTCTCTGATGGTACGTCTGTCTTTGTTTGGAGATCGGACTCTTCAGTCAGGCTGAGAGACGTTTGAGTATTTGAAGCCACTCCAGAGTCACTTTGACTGTGGAAGGTTGTGAAGGTGGGCGGAGGTTCCTCTAGTGCGAGAGTGGGGCGGTTTGCCCTGCTGCGACGCAACGACTTTTTCAGCAAGGGCTTGAGGGAGCGGGCCGAGGCAGCCTGGGAGCTCCGCACCGTGCGCTTATTGATGTGTTCCAGGGTGAGGCGGCACCGCAGCACCTGGACAAACACCTCCCGGAACTGTCTCGACGACAGGTTGTAAAGAAACGGGTTGATGACGGAGCTCAGATAGAAAAAACTGTCGGCCACTGGGTGGAGAGTAACGTAGCTCCGGAAGTAGGAAGTAGTCCAGCGGGATTTGGGCACGGTGGTCATAAGACGACGTATCTGGTTGGGAAGCCAGCAGACCATCAGGGACCCCACGATGAGACCTGGGGAAGAGACAGAGAGAATTCAGAAAAAAAAGAGAAGATTGATCCCACTCACATTTGAACAGTAAATACAAAACTAGAGATGCTTAGCTTAGCCTAGCATAAAGACTAGAAAAAGGGGTAGCAGCCACTGTAGCATCGGTCTGTTCCAACGAAACCTACGAGCACCTTTAAGGCTCACTTTTTAGCAAAATACAATACATTTGTTTAATCTGTAACAGAGCTACTTTAACATGACGTGCTGTCATTTACATTTTAAATACAATAATACATAACACTATTATTAAATAATTATTTGAGGGAGCTCTTGTATTCTTCATACTTATCTAAGCTAATCTAATCTTCTGACTTTATATTTGAAAAAAATGAATCCTGAAAAAGAAAATACAAGAAAATGTAAATAAAACAAAAGATACAAAATAAGATTTTATTTGAAGGGTTACAGTTATCCTATAATTGTCAAAAAGGATACTCAGCATGCGGCAAATGTTCATGACCTGTCTTCAGTTGCAGCCCTTCAGCTGGAGGTTTGATCCTAATAAATTACACCTACTGCTTTTGTCACATCCTCTGATATCTAAACTTGCTGCCAAGGTTTGCCCTTTTCATACTATAACTGATCATCATTAATTACTGCGACTTACATTGCACATCAATTCACAAAGTAGTTAATAGTCCATGTTTAATGGGGTGCTGTTTGAAGCCCCAACACATGCTGAACCTACTGCACAATGCAGCTGCTGTTCTTCCAGTCTTTGACCCCAAGCTGTCAGAGCCCTGTTACACAAAGCATCACCACTTTCCTGTAGAGGGAAGAAGGAAGAATAATTCCTATTCTGAACTGCAGGTGCTCAGAGAAATGACTAATAGTTTCCCTTACTGAATGCTCATGCAGCTTTAAGAGAGCTGTGTTTGTCACTGACTCACTAAAGTGAAACGCACAGTGTTGAACTCCAGAACAGGATGACGTCTCTGAATGCTAACTGGCTGCTGACTTATCTCATTTGTCACATCTGAGTCATCTGTTTACTTTTTGGCTGGACTAATACATCCTCATTCTCTGATCTGGTGTTTATCCGTTTCCCTTGCAGTGTTTTAAGGAGCTACGCAGTAACAGCCTTTTAACATTCACAAAATGATCTGGCTAGAGACTTCCTGCAACAGAACACAGACATCAACACATGTATTTATAATATGGCATCCAAGACTGCGGAAGGAATTATAAATAATCCCAGTGTCATTGGAAATGTGAAACAAACCTGAAAAGTAATCTTTATAAAGAGAGAAATGAAGGTTGTGGAACTCCCTCTTAACATTTGTTTACATGTAGGTCTCCCTTGAAAAAGAGATCATGATCTCAATGGGATACAACCTGGATAAATAAAGGTTTGAAATGAAATGAAATGAAACATGTAAGCAAGGTGTAGCTGTTTGTCTTTATAATTAGTGATAGGCACCTGCTTAAAAATGTTTGTTCAGGTTTTCAGTTGAAAGCAGCAGTTCTTCATTTGTTCCATCCTTAAGTGTCAGCAGGCTTTGATCACTGCAGCATATCTTTCACAAAAATGCTAATGGGGTTATTCAGGGCTGATAGCACCAAGGACATGTCCTCAGTCAGTACCCTGCAGTGCATTTTAGTGTTGGCATTAGACTGTATTCGCTCTATTTCAATATTTCAAAAGCACAACAAATAACAGGGAGGAATGGCCACTGTTACCCTTGTAGCAACCAGGTGTAGTCACTGCAGCAGGAAACAACTGTGTGCTTTAGAGCTTTCAAATAAAATGGGAAAAATGTTATGTTAAAAAAGACTCCTACAATGAAGATAAACCTTTCCTGGGGTGGGTTAACCCCAACACAGAAGAAAAAAACATGTATTGGGTGTATTGTTGTTCATGAAGTCTGGTGCCATGTTGAGTCAAAAGCAAAATAGAGAAAGTAATTGTGCTTTTTAGTAAAAAAACAAACAAACATAAAAACAACAATCTGCTGGTACGAATGTTCTCTTGTCACTGTCAGTGTGTCCCCCCCCCCCCCCCCCCATGGCTCTCTGCAATGCAGTGTCAGTCTGTCAGTCAGTGGCTTGGTTTGCCTGAACATCTCAACAAGTTGTACAGACACTCATGATCCCCAGTGGTTGTTTCTCAATTGTTTTCATCTTCTTTAGTATTGCAGTGATACTCCAGTGATAGTTGTCCACATCCACGGGTACATTGCAAATTAAAACCATTAAAAGTAAGCTAAATTAGCTATTAGCAGTTATTAGCTTTCAGTTATTTGCCCAAAGAAAACATTGCAGTAGTTGTAGCAAACTTGCAACTCAATGACTCAATGTCATTTTGTTTTGAAATCCCCTTAGTTTTTATTTAAATTTCCTGACAACTATTGGTTGGATTTCCATGAAGGTAGGCCGACACACATTCATGTTCCCCTCAGGATGAATTGTATATCCTCTGACTTTTCATCTAGCACCACCATAGCATGTAGCTTAAAGCAATGCTGTGTGTAAAGTAGTCTCACAGATGCTATCATACTTCGTCTTGTTTTCTTTGCACAGGTTCCACTTTTTACCACACCACACTCCTTTTTCACAAAGCAACGACGCCACATGACAGCTCTCAACATGTGCACACACAGCTTCAGTGGAGCCGGAGGACAGTCCATAGCTGTTTCCAGAGCAATGCATGCTGTTGCTTAGCTGCCTCAGCATCTCCTCAACAAGGAAAACAAGAGGTACAGTTAAACTGAAGGAAACACAGCCCTCCATTTATTGTTCTGTTATCTGTTCTTGTCCAACATGCACTCTTGGCATTATGTCATGGACAATGTCTCCTGCTGAAAAAAACATATTGGCCTACAGAAAATGTGTAATTGATTATTTTAAGTTTTCATTATAAATGTGATGTCAGCAGAACGTAGGGCTAATTTATTGTGTGTGCATATGGGTAGAATTTAGTTTAAATATGAACTGACATTTCTTATAGAATGTGGAAAGGTTATACTGTACGGCCCAACCTTACAGAATCTTGTTCTCCACTCAGGATAGTACCACCTCAATGAATGTCTGTAGTCAAACTCTGGATGTGTGCAGGATATCTCATGACGTGCTTCTGACAATTCCCTCTAACCAAACAGGGGTCTTTGTTTAACTTTTAGTATAGATTCAACTTGGAAACTTGGCTGTGGTGTTATTTAAAAAATGACCAGGTACCAGGTCGTATCCCTAGTGGAGAAACACAAATCAAAAAGTTCTGTGTCGATAAGGCCCCTACCATGCAGAACACAGCAGTAGTAGATTATAGTGATTATATAGTATCTCTCTGTTTTTTATAAATACTGTATATCATTTTTGTCTCCACTAACTATCAGTAAACAGCTACTTACACGCAAATACACACTAAGGATGGTTTATGTTATTGTCTTTATTGGTGTTTTGTAATACTTAAGAACTCAGGTACTATGAGGTGCTTGTCATAGACTATATTAAAGGCAATAATAGTAGACCAGGACCCACTGGTTTGTAGACTACTGTCGGCGAATGTTTTGGTGGTTGCCATCTTGGTTTTTAGGCGTCCACATCTATCTTTTTGACCAGCAGATAAACGATAGGGTGTACGTTGGTAACAACTTTAGGGAACCAAGATGTGACAATATCATGAACTGAAAACACACTGTGAAAAGGTAAACGTTTCTGGTGGTTTCAGTGACTGGTATCGGCCAGTCAATCACAATCTACAGACTGCTTTATCGTCTAATTTACAATATATTTATAATGGGATCATAAATTACAAAATGAGGATCATGCTATATTGAACAAGACTTGAAAATAGCATTTGGACCTCAATTTATCTCATGTTTGCAAGGTTTACTGAGGTAACACTTCAAGTGAGAAGTAGGGTGTTCATCATTGGGCTCACTTTTCAGACCCCGAGGCTACGTGTTCTTTTAGGGTCATGGGGAACATAAACTCAGGAGTAAAATACTTAAGGCTAGTACTATGCCAACTCAAAATGGATAAGATAAATTGTCATTGATGATAAATTACATTAATCACTGTTATTGAGCGAGGCAAATCTTGGAACTATTCAAAGTTTGTGAGAACAAAACCTTTCAGACTTGATCTGACAAAAAAGTATTATGCTAATGTAGAGTATCAAATTGTACTGTCTCACATAAGAGGAGAACAAAATATGAAAATGAAGGAGCCGGCCCAGCTGGGGATACTAATGACCTACACTATATAGACAAAAGTATTGGGACACTCCTCTTAATCATTGAATTCAGGTGTTTCATTCAGTCCCATTGCCACAGGTGTATAACATCAAGCACCTAGCCATGCAGTCTGCCTTTACAAACATTTGTGAACAAATGGGTGGTTCTAAAGAGCCCACTGAATTCCAACGTGGTACTGTAATAGGATGCCACCGTTGCAACAAGTCAGTTCGTGAAATGTCTTCTCTCCTAGATATTCCACGATCAACTGGTTATTGCAAAGTGGAAATGTTTAGGAACTACATGTTCCAGCATGACTGTGCCCCAGTGCCCAAAGCAAGGTCCATAAAGGCATGGTTGGATGAGTTTGGTGTGGAAGAACTTGACTGGCCCGCACAGAGCCCTGACCCCCACCCCATGGAACACCTTTGGGATGAACTAGAACGGAGAGCCAGCCTCTCGTCCAACATCAGTGTCTGACCTCACAAATGCTCTTCTGGATGAATGGGCAAACATTCCCACAGACACACTTCAACATCTTGTAGACAGCCTTCCCAGAAGAGTGGAAGCTGTTATAGGGGGGGGGACCAACTTCATAAAAGCTCCTGTAGGTGAAATGTGGAGGTGGCCTGATGCTTCTTGACATGAGAGCAGTTTATCAATGAATGTTAATCTAACTGGGTTTTGATAGATAACATATCTCTTTTTCTTCTCTCAACAATTTTCATTCTTTTGTGCACTCTAATCAATATTAATCAAACTATTGTTCGTTTATACATTTTAAGAAT